TATGTCACCAATTCGCCTTCTAAATCATCAAGTCCGAGAGTGCTAAGATCTTTGGTAGCCTCAAGAGTAACTTTCTTGTTGTTAAACTTTAAACTGAGAGACTCCAATATTTTCTCAACAACTTTAGCTTCTTTCAATACTTCTCCATTGGTCCTTAAATCATTGACTATATCTTCAATTCTTGTAAAAAAATTCTTTGACGGACTCTGTTGGTCTCATATAAGCCAACTCAAATTGACTCCTAAACTCTTGCAGTTTCTCCTTCTTTATGTTAGCAACTTTTCGATATAACTTCACCAAGATTGTCCGAGCCTCCTTTGATGATCTTGCATGCAAATATATTTTAGATACATGCAATTCAACCTTGATAGCGAGATAGTAGCGTGCCTTATAATCTAAATGTCTTTTCTTCTCCAATTTCGTAGCTATATCACCGGTCAGTGTTGTACCTTTCGGGGGTTTCTCAAATCATTCATCAATGGTGGAGCATAATCCAATAGCCTTAAAAAAATTCTTCATCTGTTGATACCAAGTTTCAAAATTATTTTTGTCATCAAACACAAAAGCGGGATAATTAGGTAATAGAATATCCATATTTTTTTGTTGGATCTCACACAGGCTCTGACATAATCTCACACAAGCTCTTATACCAATTTGAAGGATTAAAATACCCCAAGAATAATTTAGGCACAAGCAACAAATTCAACAAAGGCTATATAGAAAAAATTTATTAAACTAGGGAGAGAACGTGGTAGGAGATTTTTTTTACAACTCATAAACTCTTGAATCTCACTACATCATAGTTACCTCTCTACAATAGAAAACATGTAGTAGCACCCCTATTTATAATACTACAAACCAAATTTGACTAGACTAACAAAACCTATTCCAATATGAATTTGGTAAATAAAACCTAACTAGACATGAATTAAGTAAACTACCAAATATCAAATCCTAGACAACTTAGAAATACTAATTAATCTTGGTTTAGTTTCCAACAGTAAGAAATAACTATATAAGGTGTTTCCAAGAAACTAACATAAACTATGAGATGAGTCATGACATTGTACTAAAATGTTCAACAATAAAGATAATAAAATCGTATAAAACAAATATTATTAATAAGTCATAATGAAAATAAATATAATCTTAAATTACTAAGTTTCTAAAATAAGTACAACTAATAATTACTACAATTACATGACTAAACACTAAAAAAAATAAGTTGTGCATTTTATATAAATTATGGAAAAACTAAAAAAAATTATCCAACACTATTGCAATTCCTAGTACAATTAAATTGAATGTCTTTTGTTAGCATTAATATTGATTTGATTTTGGCTTGGAATTTGTTTGAGTTACTAACATTTATGGACTATAAAACGTATCGGAGCATTAAAAAATTATAAGTCCAATTTTAAAATAATACGTTAAAAGATAAAATTATGAAAAAGTTCAAGAAGTTACAATATAATAAATATTTGTATGTATTAAATATATTTAAAACTTCTATACATATAATGACGGGTTGGTTTGGTTTCGGTTTGACTTGTTTTAGTTAAAACCAAATCAAACCAATTATGATCGGGTTTTTTTTTCCAACACCAAACCAAACCATAATCGGATTTTTTTTCTCGGTTTGACTCGGATTGTCGGTTTGGTGCAGTTTGTCAGTTTTCCTTATACACCCCTAAATATATCCATGGTTTCTTGAATATGATCATTTTTAGGAGAATTCATAGCTAGCGTATGGCCATAGATTCCCAGATTTATTTTAAAAAATCTGATTTGGGTGAACAGGGGCATAGTCTCCCAAACATGAGGAACCCTCAATTTGAGTCTTGTAAAAGTTGAATCCATTGGTTATCTGTTAGCTAACAATTTTGTAAGTGGATAATATGTTTCTTATCAATTTGACTCGTTTTTTAAAAGTTTATTATACAACCCATTTTTAGTGGATAATATAAATGGATAACTTCTTTCTTTTTTTATTAATTTTGCCACCACTATTAATAACTGATATAAATTCAAGATATTAAAAAGAATTCATATTGTAGCTTAAAGCTAGGATTAGATACCAAGAACGTGCCATATAATTCAAATCAGAGCATTCAAAATTACAAATACTGTTGACTAGTTTTGTTTAAAGTTCACAAGTAACCCAAGTCTCGACTAAATCATGTTTAGTGATGATAAGGCTAGCACATTAACATTCACTTCGGCATGCCAATTATACAAAAAGGGAAAGAAAACTCCCTCTTGACCTTTCCATTTTCTGATAACCTGGTGAATGAACACAACAACATGCCAATATTGCTTTTAACTCGAGAGTATATTGGTGATTTTAGGATGGATTTTGTAAATTTAATTAAATATATTATTTTTAACTCGAATTATATATACATTGTGTAAAAAATTAAAAATTTATGCACATACTAAAATTAAACACATTTATTCTGAATCTTATGATTATATATATTATAAACTAATTGACTCGATAAAAATAAACGATACTTTTGGGTTTAATTTGATTTTGGTTTTGAATTTTAAAAATTCGATCAAATTTGGTTTGGTTTTGGTTTTAATAAAAAAATAACTGAAATAAATCGAACAAACTGATTATAGAAATACCTATTTAAAACTTATTATCACACACACACACACACACACACACACACACACATATATATATATATATATATATATATATATATATATATGATACATACTAATCGTTCGTACTTTTTATCTAGTTCTTTGCTATTATAATAATCTAATTCTTTGCCTTTATATTCTAATTTGATTGGAAGTTTTACTTTGCTAAGTACAAGAATCTATTTTATGCTAAAAATAATTTATATTTAATTGAGCCTTTAAATTATTCATCACTATTTAATTCAATTATCATCAAGATGTCTTGGTAAAATGATATACTTCTCAAAGAGTAATTAGTTTGATAGTGTTATGTTAAAATGTAATTGTCAAAAATATGTGTTTGGTAGTGTAATGTCTCATATTTCAAAAAAAAAGCCCGACAAATAATCGAAATAACCGAATAATCAAAAAATCGACTTCAACTAAATAGATTAAAAAATTAATTAGTTTGTTTTGATTCTAATATTTGAAAAAATTGACTTATTTGGTTTAAATTATTTTTAGGGGAAAATCGATCTAAATCGAACCATGAACGCCCATAAATTGACTGGTTAGTCAAATACTAATAATTTATCATTTAACAATCTTTTTAATGCCGTTCACGACATACTAAAATTGCTCATCCAGCTAACGTTGAGCACGTTCTCACAAGACAAAACTAATTTACTGATTATCCTAAGGTCTGTTTTCCTTCTTCTTGCATTCTTCATTTGATTATTTTCTCATCATTATCCATTCATTTCTCATCTGTCATTGTCTATAAGTCCTATGATACTATGAATAGCAATTAGTCTACGTCCAACTATGTGGGAGAAGAGGAGAGATTTCTTTTAATTAGTTGTCATGCAAAACTAATCTTATATATAAGAAAAATCTAATCTATACTAGTATACTACAACCTATAGTTTGCGATATAAAAGCCTGCATAATTATTATATAATCTTTGTACATATAGTAGTACCCCATATTTTATTTTTGGTACTAAACTATGCATAAGTTATGTGGAGGTCAATACCGGAGACCAAAAAAAAGATGTACCATTAGTTTTGGTATAACTTGCGCGAATATATATATAAACAAGTTGGAATCGAGAAAGTAACTTCTGTTAGATTATATTAGAATATCTACGTTTTACATTGAACCCACACATATACATAATACACTCATACACTTAGAAAACAAAATTAATCTGAATCTAATGTGTTATAGTCAATTAGTCATCCCTAAATCACTTAATGATAATTGATAAGATAGACCTAATTTATATGAACAAGAAAAAAAATTAGAAATTAGAGAGAAAGATGGTGAGAGAGTGAGACGCTAATGGCAGGAGATAGCTATGGAAGGAAGCAATATGACCTTGAATATATATTCATTTCTTTGACTAAAATTTTTGGCTGTTGCTGTTTGATTAATTTTTTTGTTTTGGTTTCATTCTGCGATCTTCAAATTTATACAGTTGGTGGGTTCAATGTAAAACGTAGATATTCTAATATAATCTAACAGAAGTTACTTTCTCGATTCCAACTTGTTTATATATATATTCGCGCAAGTTATACCAAAACTAATGGTACATCTTTTTTTTGGTCTCCGGTATTGACCTCCACATAACTTATGCATAGTTTAGTACCAAAAATAAAATATGGGGTACTACTATATGTACAAAGATTATATAATAATTATGCAGGCTTTTATATCGCAAACTATAGGTTGTAGTATACTAGTATAGATTAGATTTTTCTTATATATAAGATTAGTTTTGCATGACAACTAATTAAAAGAAATCTCTCCTCTTCTCCCACATAGTTGGACGTAGACTAATTGCTATTCATAGTATCATAGGACTTATAGACAATGACAGATGAGAAATGAATGGATAATGATGAGAAAATAATCAAATGAAGAATGCAAGAAGAAGGAAAACAGACCTTAGGATAATCAGTAAATTAGTTTTGTCTTGTGAGAACGTGCTCAACGTTAGCTGGATGAGCAATTTTAGTATGTCGTGAACGGCATTAAAAAGATTGTTAAATGATAAATTATTAGTATTTGACTAACCAGTCAATTTATGGG